TATTCCAAGAGGGTTCAACACATATAAGAAATTGAGAATAAATTGCGTTGCTATAGTTCCCATAGTATTTTCAGCGTGTGGTGCAGACGGTTTTATTTAAGATGAGAAAATTGGGAAGAAACTTGCCTTCTTGATTTGGGATTGTGTCGATTTCTTTAACAGAAAAATGAGATTGTCAATAGCATAGAGGAATCACCTACCGAAGAGGCGGAAATACCAAGTCACTCACCGAAAATTCAGACGCGTGGTCGATCCAAGGTCACCGTCTCCGATGCCGACAATGTACGAGGTGCCCTAGAACCTAAAGTAGAAATTTTAGAGGAAAGGAATGTGGAATTAATTAAATTTTATTAATTAAAATAAACCTTACTCAATGGGCCTGTGAAAACGCCATTGTGAGTTCATTTCACTTCCATCCATCCAGTGGGCTTGCAATGTCACCATCACCATTGACACGTAAGTCTGTTCAAGCCAAAATTGGAAAAGACCATTACTACTGCTCGATACAGAGAAAGATAAAAAATTAGACCGTGGAAAATTTAAAAGGTGATGAGGGGGTTAAAATAAATCTAAGAGTAAAAAAAATTGTAAATATGAAATAAGAAAAAAAAAAAGAAAATGAAGTCATGATCTCCAACTGGATGGACCGAATAGACTTTGTAACATTTCAAGAGAAGATTTCAGTCCTATATATATTTACAATAGACTTTAAAAAAAAATAAATCATATTTTTTATCTTTTTTCTATTTAAAAAAAAATCATATATTAATACAAAAATATCTTTAACTTTTACTTAAATTTTAACAATTACTTTATACATAAAAATCAAATGAGAAAAATATCAAAAACTCTTCCACACTTCAACTAACTAATAAAATACTATTATTTTATAATATACTATAAAATCTCAAAAAAAAGTCCAATTAATCTGGAACGAGAATAGTATTAATTTACAATTTCTTATCTCTCCGATAATTTTTTTTTATTCAAATCAAAACATAAAACAAATACACCTAAGTACTTAATACATTAAATAAATATCCTTATTGAATTATAATCATAAAAAAAATGATGAGGTGGCGTTTTTATATTACATTTTATAATTATTTCTTGCCTGTTTATTATTTGGTAATGAATAGTTTTTAATATTTTATAAATTGTAATATGTACTATTTATTTTATAATAATAAATGAATTTGACTGACTAAAATATATTAAGAAACTAAATATATTTATAAATATGTTCAATTTTCAATATGAAAGAATTTTTCTTTTTTTCTGTAAACAAACCTTTTAATAAAACATACTCATTCTGTCATAATTAAAATTATCATTTTTATTATTTTTATTTGTTCCACTTTAAAGTATTTTTTTTAGTAAAAATAATAATATATTAATACCAAAATACTCTTAATTTTTACCTAAATTATAAAAATAATATTATACATACATATAATTAGTTTATATATAAATCAAATGACAAAAATGTCAAAACTTCTTGCACACTTCAATAATTAATAAAATATTATTCCCTCCGTTTTAATACAATAGTCTTATTTATCATTTTTGTCCGTCCCAAAACAATAGTCTTATTTCCATAAATAACCATATCACCATAAAACTACCCCTACTTTTTCATTTTTATTATACAATGGCCACTATTTTTTATACTAATACACTCACAAGGGTAAAAATGTCTTTTATCCATACTTTTTATCCACTACCAGTATAATATAAATATTCCTTAAATCTCGTGCCCAACCCAATTAAGATTATATTTATGGGACGGGGTGAGTATTATTTTTTAATCTATTATAATGTTACACCCCCAGTTGACTCATACTGGAGATGCTACCGTCATACTGCATCATGAAGTCGTCACCTCCTACTTCGGACCCCACAATACAGTGTTAAGGCTAAAATTAACCATAAAAGCGCATTATATAACAAAATCTTATTTATGAATATTTACAAAACACACTCCTAAACAAGAGGTTTTTCCGGTTAAAAATTTACATATAATACAATAGATGTAAGTTCACTCACTCAACCCGTCTTTCTATATCCCAAGACGTTCCCTGTTCCGGAGGTGCCATGCATACTTGAACCAAATATTTTTCTTAAAAGCAGTCTATAATTAAATCAATTTTAGGAATTAACCTGAAATATGTCATGTCATACATTTTAAAATAAAATCTAATCTCCATCAATCATAAAATACATGACATGACATGTCAATAGTGAAATGATGCAACAAGGATATCAAACTCAACAACAATGCACATGCACATATATATATATACATCCGTCGAAGTGAGCAGCCGGAATAACCTCGGCCCCGTAATAACAAGCTCACTAGACCATCATCAACAAATAGCCGAAAAATCCTCGGCTTAAGGAAGGACCTGATAAACCCATAATAATATAACGGTCATACGGTCACTTCCATATACCCACAATACGACTCCAACAATCGATACATGGATAGCCGAATGTTATCCCCATTAACCACAAGACATCCCATAGTTTGTGATAGCAAAGATAGGACCCCCACTAACTTTTGCAATCTCACATAAATCTCCTTCAACGTACACCTGCCCCATTATTTATTAAAATCAGATGAGCCATATTCTTATTCACAAGAGCTACCTGCTTATTAAAAAGTTAACTTTTATAATTAGCTTGTTGGACTTCAAACTTTTATATTTAGTAGAATACAATATTCTAGCTATAAAAATCTTATATCTCATAATATTTATATCGACCGATTATTAAAGAAAAATATTTAAAGATATGAATAAATAGGCAGGTGCAATATATTACCATTTTCAATTCGGCTCGGATCGATACGAAATTATGAGAATATACTAGGGCTACGAATAGGCTATTAGCTAAAGAAATTAGTCGATTAAATAGCCAAATAGACAGTTATGAATTTTTGATAAATTTCTAATTTAATATCTTCAATATCTAAATTCATATTAAAATCCATAATTAAATTTTACGTATAACAAGGAATACAATCCCAAAATTGGAATCGAAATCGAACGGCTAAATTTTTCTCTTTCTTCTCTGCTTCGGTTCGAAGGAGGGAAGGATTTTATTTGGTTGTTTCTTACCTTTTCATATATATATATATATATATATATATACTATTATTATTATTATTATTATTATTATTATTATTATTATATTATATTTTATTATTATTATTATTATTATGAACATTATCACCATCCCCATCTTTATTTTTTTTATTATTATATTATATTTTATATTTATCTTTTATCGATATTTATTCGCTTAACACTCTATAATTATAACTAATATGCAAAATAAAAATAAATTTATTTCATCATATTAATTTTTTGATCCCATAATATTATAAAAAAATTTATTTGCTATAATAATATTATTTTATACACTCCAAAATTGAGGGATTACAATTCACTGCCCTTAAAAAGATTTCGTCCTCGAAATCTAAACTCAAACATAACGCTACTTAATTAAACAAATATAGATATGCTTTATATTTATCTTTATCGATATTTATCCGCTTAACAGTCTCTATAATTATAACCAATATACAAAAGAGGAATAAAATTTATTCCAAAATATTAATTTCTTGATCCCAAATATTATGAAAATATTCATTTGTTATAATAATATTATTTTATACACTTCAAAATCGGGGCATTACATATAAAACCTTGAAATACTCCTTTTGAGTGGGACAAAGGGAATATATTAATACAAAAATACTTTTAACTTTTACATAATAATTAAATTTTACGTAATTATGAATATTTAATCGTGTCGGTAATATAAAAAATATTTATTCTGTCTCAACTCAAAGTATATTTTTACTATTTTTGTCTCTTTCACTAAAAAATATATTTTCTATTTCAGTAAATGTAAATCATACATAAATATAAAAATACTCTTAATTTTTATTCAAATTACAAAAATATCATTACATATATAATAAATTTATATATAAAATCAAATAGTAAAAATATCAAAAAATTTTACGCACTTCTACTCACCAATAAAATATTATCACTTTTTTATCTATTAAAAAAACTCCAAAAAATCTCTTTAGAGTGAGACAGAAAAAATAATATTTTTTATTAAAAAATTATTCTAATATAAATATTATATATATTGAAATTATGTTAGTAAAAATTGATTGAAGTCTAATTAATCAATTATTTAAACAAAAAAAATAGACGCGATACTTTAGGAGTGGTGTTATTAATAAATAATGAAAAATGCATTAGTGAAAATAATTATTCTATAATATAAATAATTATAAATGAAGATAAAAATAACTAATTAGTTTAATTAAAATTAAAAAAAATTAAAAGTTTAAAATGAGATTAAAGCGTGTAATCATTTTCAAAAAGGAAAATGACATGGAATGTGGGATGGACAGAAACGCAACGTGGTGAACCTGATACGTGGGACGGATGGAGTATATAAAAAACTGTACAAATTTTATACTAACAAATATCTCTATTTATTATGTATATACACAAACTTCAATTTCGACAATTGTATAATTTAAAACGAAATAATATATATATATATATATCAATGTAGATTTTGTATTCTAATAAGCTCGAGCATAGCGCCAATAAGTAAATATATATATATATATAGTGATTGATATATTTGTAATTTATATAAAAATTAATAATAATGTAATATTATAAAAATAATTTTGAACTCTAACAGATAAAAATAATAAAAAAATACTTTGAGTGCATTGGTACTGTATAGCACAAGTTTGGGCTAGTTTTGCTATAATACGTAAGAAATTAAGCTTATTCCATTTTTTTTAAGAAAAAAGAAATATAACCAATTTAAAAATATCGATCACACCCTAATCGTGAGTGAATTGGTTGTTGAATCAATGTGAACAAACTTGTTTACTAATACAAAACAAAACGCCAATGAAATGTAATATTTGGATTGGATATATCACAATAATCAAATGACCAATGTAGATAACTCAAACTCAGGCATCGAATCAAAACCCAACCCATCACCATCACCATCACCGTCACCGTCGCCATGCGTCTCCTGCTCTTCTTCTTCCTCCTCCTCTCCTTTAACACAGTGGGTGCTGCTACTTCATTTTCAATTAATTAATTAATTACTATGCCGGAAAATATATGTGTCTCTGTATGCAAAAATGCTTTCCTCAATTCATAACCATCGCGTAATTGCAGGTAGCCTTCGTTCTCGCCGGCGGTGCTCAAAACCCCTTTTCTCCAAAGGGTTACGCGATACGTTACTGGAATAACAAAATTGCAAAAAATGGCTTACCAAAACCCTCCTTTCTGATCGATAAAGCTTCGCCGCTGACGGCCGCCGACTGCGCCGTGTTCGCCAAACTCGCCGGCGACGCCACCACGCTTTCCGGACATCTCCACGATTTCTGCAGCAAGGCCAACCTCTTTTGCCGGTTCGATTCGTCGCCGAGCCTGAAGAAACGCAAGGGAAATGAAGATTTCGACAGGTATAATGATCGGGATTTCAGCAACTACGGATCGGGTAGGCTCGGCGCCGGCGACTCTTTCCGGACTTATTCTGAAGAATTCGGCCTCGATACGAACAATTTCCGGCGATACAGTCGCCGTTCCGTCGGCCACAGCGATGGGTTCGCGTCGTACGCGAGGAAGAAGAACATGCCGGAGCAGAGTTTCAATGGCTACGGGACGATGTCCGCCGGAGGTAAAGGGGAATTCAGTAGCTACGACGAGGAGGTGAACGTGCCGCACGTGAAATTCATCGCCTATTCCGGCAGGACCGACGGCCGGCGGCAGACGTTCAAGGAGTACGCGACGGACGCCAATTCCGGCGAGGAGGGATTCGCCGGCTACAGCAAGGAAAGCAACGGCGACAAGAACGAATTCGCCAGTTACGCCACGAATTCCAACGTGGTCACATCCGATTTCAAAAGATACAGGGAGTTTGGCAATGGCGGGAACGACAGTTTCTCCTCCTACGGGTTCGACACAAATGTGCCCCAAAACACGTTCCAGAATTACGCCACAAAAGGCAACGGCGGGATCGAGAAATTCGACAATTACAGAGCCGACACCAATGGCGGAAGCGACGAATTCAACTCCTACGGCAAGAAATCAAGCGGCGAAGCTATTGATTTCCAGAATTACGCCGGAAAAAACTCCGGCGGCAACTCCACATTCACGAGCTACGCTAGAGACGCCGACGGCCAAACCGTCGACTTCAAGGTTTACGGCCAGGGCAGGACCTTCAAAGAATATGCCAAAGAAGGCGTCATGTTCTCCCAATACACGAATACGAGCTCCGCCGCCATGGCAGCCGCTGCAATTTCCGGCAGGGGCAAAAAGGTAAATTCCTCGGTAGTTGAACCAGGGAGGTTTTTCAGAGAAGAAATGTTGAAGAAAGGCACAATAATGCCAATGCCTGATATTCGTGACAAGATGCCCAGAAGATCATTCCTGCCCCGATCGATTTCTTCCAAACTGCCATTCTCGACCTCCAAAATCACTGAATTGCAGAAAATCTTCCATGCCGGCAAGGATTCAAGCATGGCGAAAATGATGAGAAATTCATTAATGGAATGCGAGAGAGCACCAAACCCTAACGAAACCAAGCAATGCGTGGCGTCAATAGAGGACATGATCGACTTCGCGACATCGGTTCTTGGGCGGAATCTGACAGTACGCACGACGGAAAGCACGCGAGGGTACAATAGCAAGATCATGATCGGTGGGGTGAAAGGGATTGGCGGCGGGGAAGTGACGGCGTCAGTGTCATGCCATGAGAGCTCATTCCCGTACTTGGTTTACTACTGTCACGCAGTGCCGAAAGTGAGGGTTTATGAAGCAGAGATCTTGGATCCGGAATCAAGGGCCAGGATGAATCTAGGGGTTGCAGTTTGTCATTTGGATACCTCGTCCTGGAGCCCTACTCATGGGGCCTTTCTTGCACTGGGGCCCGGCCCGGGAAAGATTGAGGTGTGTCATTGGATTTTTCACAATGATATGACGTGGACGGCGCCAAATTAGATTTCATACTCTTTCGTCTCATTTATCTGAAATGTTAATATTGTTGTTTTTGTTCGTTTTATTGATGGAACTTATTAAAAATTACACCCAAGTTTAAGATATGTTGTGTTTAAAAAATTGAGATAATAAATAAAATTAATAAATCTAACTTGATTTTATTTGCATTGTCTCATTTGGATCAATAAATTAATTGGGGATATTGTATTCTTGAAGTTTATGGCACAACTCCTCGTGAGAAAAATGCTAGAGTTTCTGCTGTTACTCTCAATAAGATATGACAAGTAACGGATATTGTGCCTAAACCTGAGATCACAACCCTACTTTTTTATCTTTTATTATTAATTCGTCTCATCACCAAATTAATAAATTATCGAGTTTCTGCATATAGGAGGTCCACACTTACTAAATACATTTAAACCCAATAAATTTTTATATCACTTAATATAGGCTTAATCTCACTCACTGATAGCTCTAATAATTACATTTAACTCACAATTAGATTTTTAATCCAAAAATCATATGTACGCTATACATGTCATATATATGCAATTGAAATGCATGCATGAAAACATGTTAATTATTATTCGTATGGCTGATTTTGAGAATAATCAAATATTTATTATAATTGGTTTATAATTCAATTAAATTTGAAATTCAACAGCATGTATATTCAATAATATGCATTTGTTCAAATTTAACTATAATTATTTAGTGTATTAATTTATAGTTTATTTGGATGACATATTTTGCGTATGTAATTTCGCCGCATTTAGCACTTTTTCGGACTACTTGATTATTTTAAATAAGTTCAAAAATTAATTGATATTTTTATAGCTTTCATCATATCTAATATACATATCAGTTTCTTGAAGGTGAATTTAATTAGCAATAAATAATATAATATATTTTATAAATATTTTAAAACAGTTATGTTGCCAAAACAATCTGTGCTGTACATATCAATTTATTTTATATATTAGAAGGTTGTATGTGTGACTTATAAGGTTGTTGATTGACCCAAAGACAACTCAACAATTAAATTGTTACATGCATGTTTAGTGACATTGAATGCGTTGATGATAATTTAGTTATTTGTGTGCGAATAATAGATCTGTCCAAAGACAGAATATTGTTTGATACACTACTTTATTGTCAACATTTAATTGTCAAGACAAATTTATCACGGGCGAGTCAGTAATTTGTTCAAAGACAATTGATGATGTTGCTCGATAACATGTGATATAATTGCTAATTTATTTTATAAATTAACATACAAAGCATTCGGTTTCTTATAGACATGTGCATTCAGTTTCTTTTACACATTCTTTATTTTTATGGAATAAGACCAGTAAACATTGAACGCAATTATGATTCTAATTTGGTTTAAGGATATTAAAAATTCATTAATAATACTTGCTGCGTTTTGACGGTGAAAATCAAGTATTCGAAGTTGCCAAAGTAATCTACCTTATATGAGATTTTTTATTTGATAATGTAAGTGTTTATGTGTATTTTAATTCATATGATTATTCGTTGGCCCAAAAGGAGTTGGTAATTGAAATAATGAAATATACATCTGCGATAATATGTATGAGATGATTGTATGAATTTAACTTATGTGAATAGTGAATCAGTCCAAATATTGGTTTCTGTTTGACATTACTTATTATCCGTATATGATTATTGAGCATGTTGCTCATATGAGAGTGGAATTATTTTGATATTTTGGTTTAGTGGGAGCTGATTAGTAATGTTTAAATACAGTTAAAGTTACTTTATTTTATACTGCAGTATTCAGTATTCACTGTTCAGTATTCAGTTTTAATTTAGTATTCGGTTGTTCTGAATTAAAGTTAAAGTGGATCAGTTGAAAATAGGCATGTTAAGATCACATTACATGATATTCCCATGCTATGCATCCGCACTTGATTGAAACTTAAGTTATGTTGATGTTGTGACCACTGATCGGTCCCATTGCGATAAATGCAGTGATGACCGCTTTGATCAGCATTAATGTGATTTATAGATAAGATTGGTAAAATACATTAAAGGATCTGATAGTAAAATTTTCATGAGCTCATAAGGTTTTTCAATGTATATTTACCCACAATTAATTTTTAATCCAACATTCACATCTTATGTTAATTTCTTTTTTAATATTACACTTGAGAATAAATTTAATTAAAAGTAGTCGAGTTACTAGTACCATATGTTTAATATTCATATAGATTAGTAATTAATTAAGTTGTATTTATATTTCTTATTTTTAATCTCTTATTTGTAGAATGTTTCAATGATGGAATGAGATAATATAGTGAGAAAAAGCAGTGCACCAATATAGAGTTTTTTTTTTTTTTTTTCAATCCGGTTCAATTTTTTGTTTTGAGAAAAATCATATTTTAATAATTTAGTATTAGAGCTAATATAAGTTCCAATATTCTGATAAAGATGATAATACCATGGCTAACAAAATCAAATTATTAGAATTGGAGTATAGAGATGCAGGTGTTGCTCGGAGCCAATAATATGCATGGGAAGTGGTTGAATCTAGTTATGATGCGAAATCTAGTCTTTATTTTCTATTTCAATATCTCAAAATATGACTTGAAAAAATTTCTGATGCGAAATCCTCCAAAGTAGCATAGGGAAGCTGGAAAAATCTTTTAAATGAGCCGATAAAGTGAAACAAGTGCGCCTTCAAATCCTTTGCAGTGAGTTTAAAAGTATGAAGACGAAGAAAACAAAAAGTGCATCCGAATATAATGCGGGTGCAAACTATGGGGAACCAGCTTAGAAGAAATGGTGAGACGCTAGACAATACTCAACCGGTGGAGAAAATACTACGGACCCTTACAGATGAATTCAACAACATTGTGTGTACTATTCAAGAGTCAAATGACATTGAAACCTTGACATTATATGAGCTTGTTCATGAACAGTGAAAGAAGAAAGTGAGTAATGAGACACTCAAGGAAGACCTCAAAACAAAGACATTTTGTTAAGATGATAAAAAGTTGTCTTCTCAATCTCGTGGGCAAGGACGTGGTCGGAGTGTTCACAACACTAGATGACATGGTCTAGGAAGATATTAGGAAGAAAATCAACAATTCATTTCACAAAATTAGAGATTTGGGGACATAGTAGATGATAGAAGATAGTTGATGCCACAAGTGTGGAAATAAAAGCCATTTTGCGAGAAATTGCAAATCTCAATAAGTTCCATAATTGTAGGAAAGTTGGGCACTATGCGAGAGACTATTGAATAAAAAAAAAGTGGAAGAGAACACAAAATTTATAATTAAAGATGGGAGCAAGGAGAATAAAGAATCCACACGATGGTGCAAAATAACTCCAATGACGACAATGATGTGACATGGTATCTCGATACGGGTGCAAGCAATCACATGTGCAATGTTAAACACCTATTTAAAGATTTGAGAGAGGCTAAAGGTGGTACGTATATTTTGGAGATGCATAAAAAATTCGATTCGAAAGATATAAGACACAACTAGTGGCTAAAGAATATAAACAAAACGCAGAAATAGATTATGATAAATTGTTCGTTATAGTTGCAATGATGGAAATAATTCGCTTGTTAATTGCATATACTGCTCAATTTGAATGGCCTATATTTCAAATGGATGTCAAATCTGCATTTTTAAATGGTGTGCTTAAAGAAGATGTTTATCTCGAATAACCTTCTAGGTACATTAAAGTTGGAAACGAGCACAAGGTGTTGAAACTAAAAAAAACACTTTACGGGCTCAGGCAAGCACCATGGGCATGGAATGCTTGTATCAACACATATTTAAAGGAGAATAGGTTCCATCAATGTCCATTTGATCACACACTCTATGTGAAAAGAACCAAGGGTATTTGTTATTTGTCGCTTTCTATGTAGACGATCTCATTTTTATGGGAAACAATGTCAAGATGATAGAGGAGTTCAAGAAAACAATGAATCATGAATTTGAGATGAAATAGGTGTGTCGCAGGAAGCATATGCAAAATTTTATTTGAAAATAAGCAATATGACGAACAACAATTTAGTGTCATGTTGATTGAACCAAACACAAAGCTTTCTAAGTATGTAGATGAAGACCGATTCGAAGCAAGCTTATACCAAAGTTTGGTGGGAAGCCTTCGTTATCTCACTTGTACGAGGTCAGATTATGAGATAAATGTTGGAATAAGGAGTAGGTTCATAGAGGAACCGAGATACTCGCATTAGAAGGCATTGATGAGGATTCTACAATACATTCGTGGAAGAAAATCACTTGGTTTGTTGTATTCCAAACCGTAATAATTTAAGATTGTGGGATGTTCGGATAGCAATTGGGGTGAAAATGTTGACAAACGGAAAAACACAATACGATATGTAATTTTTATGGGAAAAAGAGCTTTCACATGAAAATCAAAGAAAAAATCAATTGTTGTGTTCTCCGTATGTGAAACTGAATATATGGCAGCATCGTGGTGTTTCAGACATGCAATTTGAGCGAGAATTTTCTTGGAGAGTTAGGGCAAGAGCAGTATGAAGCATGGAAATCCGCATTGATAACAAATCATCTATTGAGCTAGTAAAAATTCGGTGAACAATGAACGAAGTAAGCATATAGACATAGGTTTTCATTTCATCCAAGACAAAATTAAAGATGGAGTTGTTAAACAGAAGCATGTTGCATGTTGTGACCAAACGGCAAACATATTTACCAAACCGTTGTCCGCAGATATGTTTGAAAGTTCAAAATGATGATCAGGATGAATGACTCAAGAAAATTAAATTTAAGAGGGAATTTTGAGAATAAATTTAATTAAAGATTGCAAGGTTAGTGGTGTTGACATTACGAAATGTTTGAAATACCTATGGACTAACAGTTAAGTTGTATTTATATTTTTTAACTTTTACTGTCCAATAAAACAAACCTCAAACAAAGAACTTGAGCAGGGTGGCAATCCTGTAGACAACTGATTGGTCGTCTGATATGTCTGTGAATCCAAAAGGGGCTCAGTTTCCCTTTCTTTTTCTTCATTTCATTTTGACTTTTCAAATCGATTATAGCACATTAAC